GTGTTTCGTTTGATATGTGTCCGTGGTGTGTAGGGTGCGTAATGGAAGGGAACTTCTCGACACCACGGATCATGCATTCGATATTCTCGACACCGGAGACCAAGAGTCCCGAGACGCACATGCGCTTGGCAGAACCGTTTCCTCCTTGAGCGAAATCCGTGGGGCACTTCAACGGCGTGACTTCGATCCACGGAGCCACCAGAGAGGACTTCGAAGAGGACCCGTGGATGACCGTCATCCCGTGCATGGACGGGCATCTTGACGGTTGGCACGATGTCAATTGGGCCGCGATGGAGAGTGGATGCCCTTGGGCAAGCCAGTACAAGTTCGCCAACATGTTGAAGTTTGGAGACCTCATCACGCTGCCTGACGTTGTCCTTGAACACAAGTTCTTGAGCCGTATGCGCAGAACACTGAGCTGCATTAGCCGTCATTTCAGTCGCCTAGAATGTCACTACGTCACGTCGTCGCCACGCACGTGGACAGGCTCGCGAAAACAAGAGTTGCTGGACTGCACTTGTCACTGCTCGTTCCTGGAGCACTACCCGCTCCGTTGCCCTGGTCTTTCTCCACAAGTTGTGTCTTACTGTTGTGTGAGGTTGATTGTATCCCGAACCGATTCCGCCTGAGTGTTGTGTGTCGCCACTTGTAACAAAAGTAGGAAACTCGTCGATGCAGTTGTGCTTGTGTCACGAAACGAGGTGATAATTGAGGGGTCCAAATTCGTCGAAGCGTGCGGGCCACAACGTGTAGATGGGTGGCCGGACCTGCTGATAGCAGGGCAGGTCCAAAACTTTTCGTTGTGGCATGAAGTGGAAGAGAAAGTGTCTGACATACGGGACTGTATTGGGAATTCCTTAGCCCGACCGGGAGTTTTCGTTCGGATGAAATACATGTCCGTCTTTTCGGAGAATGCGTCAGTCAAAGAACCGCAGATCCACGTTTACGGATCACCAATGAATGCTATGTATGGCTTCGGGTCACGACCTCATCCCCGAGGGACCTCGAATGTAACCAGATCTGGACGGGTTGTCAGACCTCGTGCTTGAGGGAAAAGGAGCGAGAGGTGTGAGAGGCAGTAGTTGATAGTAGAAACTATATGGCACACGTGTGGTGCAAAGCCCGAGCTATCCATCTTAACATGCTTCTGTCTGTACTCTTACGCCGTGGCTTTTCTGACGCGCAGCTGATTGCACTGAACACGAAAGTGCAGAGCCTTCGTCACGCATATCGCGTCTCTCTCCAGCACCGGCCCTATGTTCGGATCCTGGCGAACTTCGCTTTTCCACAATGCCTTCGAACCGACTGTGTGTTTCCTTACGCCCCTTCGTCGGACCCCCACCTTCACCAGACCTTGTACGTGCGTGTGGACCTCCGTTGCATCTCGGGTTCCGGTAACCACACAAGTGCGGATTCATATTGCTCTGTCGTTTTTTCTCGCGGCCTCATGCGACAACAGCCCGTGTCCGCCCTTGCCCAGACGACTGGTTTCGTCCGCGCTCAGATGTGGGCGGACTTCGCCTTCTCAACCAGCCTATCAAGTAAGTGCGGCCTGTCTCTTCCGGTCGCCCCCTCCAGAAGTTCGAATCCCGGCGAACTTCGCATTTTGGGTGATGCGTGGGTGTGTCAAAGGCCGCTTTGCGGTTCGTCGAGTTGCGTGAGGAAGCGACTGCAGTCCAGGTAATTCACGAACCAGCATATGGATCCGTTCTTTATCTACTCGCATTCTAAGTACTCCCCCATCCGAGCTTCAAATAAACTCGATGCGTCACTGACCCGGACACACGTGTGCGGGAAGGCTTTCGTCCCGAAGCGGTTGTCGCGCAACCGCCTACAAGATGTGCCAAAGAGTCGTTTGTTGACGTCGCGAATGGCCAACTGCACTCTTAGGGCCCTTCTTGTTGGATCTGGGTCTGTTTCGAGCAGAGTTTCGCACTCCACAAACAGAACACCCCCCCGGATCCCGCATGTTATCAGTTCTTGGGGCAGTCTTCCGGGATGATCAATTGCAACTGGGGTCACATTTTGGGACCTTCGTGTCGGATGTGGGTCTATTTCGAGCAAAGTTTCGCACTCCACAAACAGAACACCTCCCCCGGATCCCGCAGGTTATCAGTTGTTCGGGCAGTCTTTCGGGATGCTCATTCACAACTGTGGTCTATTCGGTGGACCTTCTTGTTTGATGTGGGTCTGTTTCGAGCTGAGTTTTGCACCTCGCGAACGGAACTGCCCTCCGACACGGTTTCTCGCGTAATGGCATTTGCACACTGTCTGCCAGCCAGTTGATTCCCAATGATGCACAATCACTGTGCACAATTGTCGACCATTATGATGCTTGTAAGATAGGAAGTTCGCCGACATCAGAACTACGCGAACACGTCCTTCTCTATCGGAACTCCATGCACCGTCTGCCTCGGATTCTGGTGGAATAAGGTCGGACCTTGTCACAATGGCCCATCAACATTTGCTGAAGTCCGCCGGAATCCGGACATCGCTCATGGTACATATTCTCCGATGGTAGAGCGATCTTCTATAGTAACCACATGTCCCCGCAATCTCTCGACCTGGAATTTTCCAGTCTGGAAGAACAAAGGAGGTCCGCAATATGAGAAACGTGCGCAATCTTGACCTCCGATGGACGAAGTTCACCGGAATCCGAACTTCTAACATATGCTATAAAGAGTTCTAAAGCTGCCCGTTTGCGTGCTAACTGTCGACAACCACCATTCCCCTCTACGTTGTTCGCTCGCCGCCAGCGCACCTCCTTTTCCCTTTGCAGTGTTCTGCTTTTCTATTTGACTGGCTTGTAGTCCGCCGGTATCCGAAGTTCCCCATTTGCTGATTGTTGGCGGTGTTGTTTGTTTTCGAATGCATCCTCCGCTACGTCTGATGCAGACACAATGGCTATGTCAAGAGGCGACGAGCAGCCTACGGGGACCTCGGGGAGGGAGTCGACGAACGCAAAATCGTGGTCGAATCATGCGCACACGAAGTGGTTCGTCGATTGGTGCTTCGCCGAAGATGACGAGCCCATGAAACCGCCTTGCGGTCCAGTCATTTTCATGGAAGATAGAAAAGGACGAAGAGTGCTCGACTCGGTCAAGGGATGGCAGCCATCGAAAAACCACGACAAGCAGTGCTACCTGATGCATGTCATTTACAATTCGAAGGGCGACGTTCTGGCAGGTGCGAAAGGGGCGATTCTCTCGTGGGATTTGTTCCAGGGGTTTTGTGGGACGGCTTTGAGGACCCCTTTCTACACTGAAGTCGAGGAGGGAGGTCTTGTTTCGGCTAGGGAGTTTTTTTACGAGGTCGAGAAGAGCGACTTCGACCTCGACAATCCCTGCCAAATTTCGAGCGACCTGGAACTGTCGCTTCCTGTGCAAATGTGCTCCGGGTTCGTTTCCAGTGGTTCAGTACAGCCCCGGTAGGGTGAGGAAATGGGTTCCGGTGGTTCAGTACAGCCCCGACAGGGTGAGGAAATGGGTTCCGGTGGTTCAGTACAGCCCCGGCAGGGTGAGGAACGCGGTCGCTTCGATGACAGCGAGGAGGAAGAAGAGGAGGACATGCGAGTCTCGCCGCATAGACTCGGAGATCGCGGGATGCTGAGAATTCCGGGGGCTGAAAGAGGGGCAACGGTCGTCGAGCAGCCGTCGACGTCGGGTGGCGGTCGCGGTTTGGGGTCGGAGGACAGGACAGTTGGCGTCGTTTCCGGCGGGGAGGGAGGGGAACAACAGTCTTTACAAAAGAGAAGGGGAGGTTCTGAGGGGGAGGCGTCGAGAGCTAAAAAGAAGCAGAAGACAAAGACCCCACAGCAGTCAGGGGGGAAAAGGAAGGGAGCTGAGGGGCATGTCGGCGCGTCGAGTCAAAAGCGCCCGGCCTCGGCTCAGAAGCCACCCCAGTCGGCCCCTGTCCAGCCCAGAGGTGTCATCGACATCGACACGGCATACTTCCTGGAATGGAAAAACGGCGTGCGAACAAAGTTGGAGTTTGCCATTAACCCGTCACAAGTCATCGACATCGGCGAGTGGGAGGCGGCATACAACCAGCGTTCCTTGGATCCCGTGCAAATACAGACGATTATTGACGCAATGACGACGACCTACTCTCAGACCGAGAAGACTTACGAGCTGCCGATACTAAAGCTCGCGCCTCTTGGGCTTGTTAAGTCGATGCCGGGGAGCGGAGGGATCGTCTGAAGCCGGAGGACAGGAAGGACGAGCTGGCCAGGCAATACTACTACTACGCTGTGGCGGGCCAGCATAACGCGGCTGCAGCCAGGGCGCTGCTTGGCACTGATGTGGCGGTGAGGTACAACTTCGAGCGCTGGCCTGCACGAATAGTGTACTTCTCACACGAGGACTTTGAGGGGTACTTTCTCGTCAGCGCCGATGACAACAAGAAAGACATGAAGGCCCCTCCGAGACAACTGAAACTCTCCATGAGAGACATTCGGTGGTGTTGGAAGGAATTGGGTTACCCGAAAGTTGTTATGGGTAACCCCAGCGGGAAACAGGCGCAGGTGGAGGCATGGCGAAGATTTTGTACGGAGGCGCTCCATAGGACGCCGTACAATCACTTGTGGACTCTCGCCGATGACAAGACCGAGCAAGGAATCAAGAAACAGAACGCTGCCCTTCGATCCTATTTCCCGCTCGCGATGGCAGGGAAAAGCGCATGGGAAATCGGGATGAAATTTTTCGAGAGATGGGAAACGGGCAGACTGCTGGCACCGGAAGGAGCGAAGTGGATCGCAAAGAAAAAGAAGGTGCAGGGCCTCAAGCCAGGTGTGAGCCACATCGAAAACGAGAAGGACGGGCGAAAGGTAGTCGTCTACAATGTCCCCGTCGAAGGGCCACAAAAGAAAGGCAAGAAGGAAAAAGAGCCAGGCGACTGGTTCGTCCAGGTCACCGAGCCGGATCCGCACTGCTGGAAGAGCATGGAGGCCCTTACGGACAATGAGAAATGCCGGTTGTTGAAGAAGGTTCTCAACTGCGAGGTGGTCTGGGTGCAGACAGGGTCCTCCGCGTTGGCGAAGCAAGGGAAGCTGGGGATGCACGAGGCAGTGCAACTGGTGAAGTGTGATCGCATATTGGTGCGGTTGTGGAACTACTACCAGTTCAGGCATGAGAACCGGCCAGACAGTGACTGGACCACTAAGTACCCCTTCCTGAAAAAACGAGAGGCGATTTCGGCAAAGTTTGAAGGGCAGGGGCTGGATGCAGCGTTGTGGGACGGGAGCAGGAAACTCGTCAGCGACTCCTCCTTGTTCAAGGACTGTCCGCCCTACATGGGTTGCGAGGACGACAAGTCGATCAAGGCGACAGAAAAGCTGGTCCAAAACAAGAAGTTGCCCATCGACTGGAAGAACAAGGTCCTCTCCGTGTTGACCGGCAGCAGGTCGAAAAGCATGGAAGTCGCGCTCGCCGAAGGGATGGTGCACATTCTGTGGAACGACTCGAAGGACGTCACATCTATTGCCCCGTTCGGTGTCGACCCTCTGGATGCGTAGATGAAGGTCGTGGAGTTGGAGAGGGCAGTCGGAATCACGAAATGCCACACGTGCGTTCTCGCCTTGTGCGAACTAGTGAACATCAAACAGTGGACAGCTAAAGTCTTCGAGAGTTTGAATGCCCTCCTGGAGCACTTGTTCCCCTCGCACTGGACAGTAGTCGCGTTCGTCCCCCGTGAGCACGACTACTACTTCATGACCAGCCTGCACCATCTGCTGGAATTCCTTCGCAAAAAGGGGGACAGCATCATGTTCCTTGGGAAAACGCACGCACAAGTCGTGTGGGAGATTTTGAAGGGTGGTCACAACGTCATCGCGTTGGAGGGGAATTCGGAGTGGTTGCAATTCACGTTGGATTTCCTGAAAACCACGGTCAACTCGGGAGCATACCGCTGCGAGTTCAATACGAAGAGTGAGAAGCCGAGACGCGTTTGGGATCCTTCGACGGACATGTGGTTCAAGCTAAGCGCCCGGAAAAGGAGCAGGATCTACGAGTTCATCTTCTTGGAGAAGCGGCCTGCGAGGGGCACCGACATCGAGTACATGTGCCGCAAGGAATACATGTTGGCGCTGCTAGACAAGTCCGTCGGAATCCGAACTTCGGCATTTGTAAACATTCCTCTTCTTTGGTGTGATGTGGTCTTTCGTCGTCATGTGCAGGGTTCTCGGGCTAGACTGCGCTCGTCGTTTTATGCGCGAATGCACACAAGCTCGTCGCTGCGAAAATCGTTTATCGGATGGTCTGTCTTGTAGTCCGCCGGTATCCGCACTACAGGTGTCGGCCAGCGATAAAAAGTCGAGACGGCGACAAAGGACTTGTAGAGGGAGGAGCGGATGAGCGGTCGCAGAATAAAGCGTGACGGTGTGTTAAAGAACCAAAGGCCAATTGGTCCTCGCTGACAAGTGAAGCGGAATTTTGTCCATCTAACGTGGGGCATAAACCGACAAGGGGGTTGACAGACAGCGTCGACAATCCCGAAACGCGGGAGTGCTGACATCGCGACGATCGTCAATGCTTACCAGCTTGTTTTTCTTCCCGCTCCTTCGTCAGCGACGTGGGCGCTGGTAAGGCGAGGACAGCCAGGGACGGAGTGCCTACCCTGCACTTTTTCGGGGACGTGACGTGCTGGCGTCCCCCAACAACCCCCCCCCCTTCCTCCTGTGAGCGGTGACCAGGGTACCGGAAAGCACGACTGGATGAGCGGCAAGTCCCCGACCGCGAAAGTTTCGTTGCTGAGAAGGGCATCATCTTTTGACGGTGTGGACGAAAGTGTTTTAACTTGCACGTCGCCCAGTATGCTATCGATGACCTCGTTGACGCTAAGATGGCGAGTCGTTTTCGTCGGGCTCACTGTCATGATAGCCTCGTCGCACCCGTCGGGGGGATGCACCGCCGTGGCCAGGTGGTGGGCGTCATATTCTTCGTGGTCCACGGAAAGGCCACTAACCACCTGCGTCTCCATCTCCATCGCCGTCGCGTCATCGTCGATATCACCTTCACCTGGTCTAGCGTACACCAGACCGAATGAATTAGATGTCTCCCCACAGACATCCTCCTCTCCGGCATCCACCCTTTCCTCGTTTGTAATACTGAGTCCTCCTTCTTCACCGTCTTCCCTGTCGCGCAGTGTAATCAACTCCTTCTCTCGCCCTTCGTTTCCTTCTCCCCCCTCCTCCCATTCTCCCCCTTCTTCCCCGCCCTCGACTTCCACCCATTCTTCCCCCCTGTCAGTCTCACGAGACTCGACTCCTTGCAGCCGCATCAAGGCGGATCCCAAGGAGCGGTCGTCTGTATGAATAGACGTAGCACCTTCCTCCGTCCCTGCCTCCTCCGACTGCAGGCACGTCACGGACGAAGTACGGATACCGGCGGACTTCGTCGCAAGGAAGGCGGACGGCGCTGCACCAGCAATCTCTCTCTGTGACTTCGCAGATCGGCCTTGTCCAAGGGCCGGCGGCGTCGCCTCCCGCACAGCCAGGGCGGCGCCCATCTCCGACGCCTGTGCTCCTGTAGAGCTCCACTGGACCGGTACACTCGCCTGAACGCCGTCCGCCCTGGTAGGGATGTCCACGGACTTGCCCTTCACGACGGAGACAGGATCCCCTGCACATGAGCCCCGCCCCACTTCACCGGAGGAGCCGAAAGCAGTCCACGAGGGAAGGGCCGCCTGCTCCAGAGTCATCGAAGTGCGGATGTCGGCCGAGTTCGCTGCCTCCACGGGCACTGGGTCCTCCGTCTGCGAAGTTCGGATGCGGGCGAACTTCCCTGAATTGTCGCTCCCTGCTGTTGGGGAGTGTGTGACGTTCACCCCCCCTTCCCCCATGCCGCTGTGCGCGATCCCACCCTGACCGCTTGAGGCAGGCAGTGATGCCGGCGCGCTTCCCCCTGATGTCGTATGGCCACTGCCTCCCCCCCCTCCGGCCCCGGGGGGGCTCGGAGGTCCTCCTCCCACACTACCCTGGGTCCCTGTCGACGGGGGTACTTTCCAGTTCACCTTTTTCTTCGAAGGGCTCGTCTCGAGGTCGTAGAAATCGTCTGATAGTTCCAACCACACTGCTTGTCATGAAGTTTCCGAAACAAGCGATCAGTAGTGGCAATGATGGCCGGGTCGGCGGGCTGCAGGTTGTTGTTCTGTGACGTCACTTTGTCCACCACAACACTCCTCGTGATATCCAAGTAGTCGGACTTGGCCAGGCACTCGGACGGCTTCCATTCCCCGTCAGTGTCGACTATGGCCATGACCCACTCCCCCTTCCGAATTGCGGGCAGGATCGTCCCCGGGTGCCAAATCATGTCATGACCCAAGTCTGGCTCCATGGAACGCGTGTGGTCGTGCCCTTCGAAGTGAATGTTCTCATCCTTCCGAGAAGAATTTTGCAGGGGGACTTGACACCCTGGACGCAGAGGAGGAGGCGCAGCAGGCCGAGGTGTCAATCTCGCCAACAGCTTACTAGGGATCCTACGCACGGGCGTCGCTTGTGCGGGCCGGTTTGTTGAGGGACTCGCCACCGAGGAGGCCGGGGATAGGAGCACCGGAGCAAGGCGGTAGTCGATGTCAATTTCCTCGGTGTCGCTATCCTCATCAGGTGCACCGGTGTCGAAGACACTTGCAGCCAGCAGGTCAAGTCACAGAACCGGGTTTGGTCCTGACACTGGAACTGCGGAAACCGCTGGAAAAACGGTAATATGGAAGGTCTGTTCTGAAGTTCGTCGACATCCGAACTACAAGTGTCGGCGCGAGGTGGAGCACGCCCCGTTGGTTGGTGTTTGCGAACTGTGGCTGCAAGTCCGCTGGAATCCGCACATCAGCAAATGCCGACTTTCCACCTCGCGCCGGCACTTGTAGTGTGGATACCAGTGGACTAGAAAACATACCCTTCGAAGTTCCGGTTTTCTCCGGTCACCGCAGTTCCAGTGTCAGGACCAAACCCGGCTGGTCCGTGTCTGCTAGTTGTAGTTGCAAGTCCGCCGAAATCCGAACTTCAGCATTGGTAGGCGTTCCTCTTCTTTGGCCTGATGTGGTCTTTGTCGTCATGTGCTGGGGTCTCGGGCTCGACAACGCTCGTCGTTTTATGTCCAAATGCACGCATGCTTGTGGGCTACATTATCTTTCACATTGTCACTTTCGTCGAACTCCTCCTGGGAATCATATATTCATTTCGGGTTTTGTCTGTTCTCTGTTTTACAGGGGTCCGGTCATCTCGAAAAAGGAGTTTCTCGAAATATCCGGCACGTGTATTGCAGAAACTTCCGAGATTCACGACAAGAAACAAGAATATGTTAAAGGCATCAGGGATTGATGTCGAGATTGGAGAGAAGGAGCATGCCTTAGCCATTGACGAATGTCTTTCCCTTCTACCTGTGGAGAAGGGGACATATCCACGATCAGTGACTAGGGGTCAAGCCATGTATGAAAAATACTTAGCGACGTGTCGTGCGGTGAATGACAACCTTTAGAACTTCCTTTCTCACTTCCCCGCGTGTGCGTTGGTCGATGATGTGCAGCTCGGGCCACAGCACCTGCAGCCTGGGGGGGGGATTTCGCTACGGCGATTGCGCCTCAAGTCTCGCGGGTTATGGACGATGTTTCTCGCAGCGTGGTGCCTCCTCATCATGTCCTCTCTTCCTTTGCGGATGATCAATTCAGAATCACGGCGAAAGATATGCTCACCGTTTTGCAAGTCAATTGCAAGATCAATGATGAGGTGGTGAATTTCTACATGGCTGTTTTGGGGTCGACGGCATACGGGACACGTGCACGGCCATCAGACCTTCGAATCTTCAGCTTCAATTCTTTCTTCTTCAATATGCTGCAACTTCGAGGACACACTGGGGTGGAGAGGTGGGCTAAAAACGTTGATCTGCATCAGTTCGATATGATCTTCATTCCGGTGCACAAACATAACGATCATTGGATCCTCCTTTCCGTTAATTTGAGAGACAATGTCTTTGAAATTTTTGACTCTTTTCCTCACGTTAAAGCCGATTCCAGTTTCTATCGCAGTGTTTTCGAGTTGATTGTTCAGTATTTAGAACGTCATACCTCAGATAGCCGGTCGGATAGGAGTTGGAAGACTATGGTCATAAAAATTGTTGTGGAAGGAGTTCCAAGGCAAGTGGATGGAGCTAGTTGCGGGGTGTTCATGTTGACATTTGCAACGCTGTTGCAACGTGGTGATCGACCCCCTTTCAAATTCTCGAGTAAAGATTTGCCTGTTATTAGACGACAACTGGCAATATGTCTCTTGGAAGGACGTTGTCTTTGACAATTTTCAATGACTTGTACAAAATTCTTTAAATGTACTTCATTCTATGGCGATTGTATTTGGTAACATAAGACATTATTCAACTGTCTTTCTGAGTTCAACATTGTTTTCTTCATTGGGTATGTTTCTCGTTGCCTTTGGGATGCTCGCTGTCGGTATGGCAATGGTACTATTGTCGTGCAGTGGAACAATTCGTGTTGCGCTCTATGATTTCTATTGCAAGTGAAACACACATGGCACCGACATCGAAAGTTCAGATATCGGTGGACTACAGCCTCTTCGCCCCCCCGGCAACAATCTTATGTAGGTTGTGGTACATAAGATTGTTGTCGGGGGGGGGTGAAGAGGATGTACTTCGCCGGCATCCGAACTTTCGATGTCGGTGCCTTGTGCGATTCACTTCCTCTGTATGTTGTGTGTGGAAAGTAAGGCGTGAAATTGGATTGTTGCCCCTTGCTTGTCACGACGGTTTGCAATTTTGCTATTTGAAGGCATCTGTGTTCTCGCGTGTCTTCTAGCCCTTAAATGACGTTCTCTCACTCTCTTTTCGTGCAGTGGAACAACTCGTGTTGCGCTCTATGATTATTATTGCATGTACGACAACCTACATAAGACTCTTGTCGGGGGCGGGGGCGAAGAGGCTGTAGTCCGCCGATATCTGAAATTTCGATGACGGTGCTCGTTCGTATTCACCTACGCTCGTCCTGTTCTGCTTTTGCAATGCTCTTAGAACTAGTCCACTTGTGGAATTTTTTTTTGGGGTGCATGGCAGTTTTAGACACATTCGCGGGCGTGAGATTCAGATTCATCTTGCATCTTCACGTGCCGTCCGCGGTGCTGCTTGCGTTTCCGCGTGCCGTGAGTCGCCCCTGCGCCATCACGTAACGGCCTCGCTTGGAGAATCTCTATGGGGGCACTGGTTTCTCTGAATTCACCGCAGCGGTCGCCTGCTGTCCAACTGCCTATTCCGCCCCACTGCTCAGGTGCACCCATAACTTTTTCCTGTTGGTTATTCCGCTGTGAGCGCGCGCCTGGCCTATATAGACACGGGCGTGAGCTTACGCTACATCATTCACAAGCCATGTGCGAGAAACGTAAGGTTGGGGGTTCAAATCCCTTTTTCCGCTTGTATCACCGCAACGCGGTGCACTATGTGGCACCCATAAGACCAGTGCCCGACATGAAGTCGGCCTGGATTAAGGTGGTCGGCCCCGATGCGGGCTGGCGCACTATGTGGCACCCATAAGCGCAGCACGATGCTCTTATGGGGGATTGGGGGAAGGCTCAATCCTGGAGCAATAAGCGCGGTAGTTCCCTTCTTCCCTTCCTCAACTCTGCCCACCGGAACTTTTGACGTTCCAACATTCAAACACAACAAGGAGTCGACGTCATTGTGTTGTTGTGATTATCCATCAGTGGGGGTCGCAGGTTGTGCTGCTCAAGGCACCTTGCTCATCACAATCAGGGCACCTTGCTCATCATGATCAGAAATAAGTATGGATCTCAGCACACTTATCAAACTTCCTTGACAAGGATACAATCAAGGCGCCTTGCTTATCACAATCGAAAATAAGACTTAGTATGGATCTCAGCACACTTATCAAACTTCTCCGATAAGGACACAATCAAGGCGCCTTGCTCATCAGAATTATACATAAGTATGGATCTCGGCACACTTCCGCATGTCAGGCACACCTTGCTCATTATAAACAAGTATGGATCTGAGCACACTTCCGCTTATGGGGCGAGTGGATGGGTGAGTGGATGGGTATGCCTAGGTTGCTTAGGCTGCAGCTGAAACTAAATTTGTTCGAAAGAGGACACAATATAATGTCTTATTTTAATGAATAACGTATTATTATCTTTGTGGTTCGGGGCAGCTAAATGAGGTACGTTGCTCTTAACCTTATCTTCCCTCTCCGATACTTCTTATCGTGAGGTTGTGTGTTCCTTGTTGAGTGTCCTCTCATCGTGAGGTGTCGAGTGCGCTCAACCTTGAGAGTCGGCAATGTTCACGTGGAGCATCTGGGTAGAGATGGGTGGAGCTTTCTGAAGGGCCCTGGACGAAGCACTGGGTCACGGTCACCATGCCAACCCACAAGGAGTAGAGCACACATGCCTAAGCTACTTGTCCTTTGTTCGGCTTGCTGCGCTGTTAGATGGGTACTACTGGGCAGGCCAGCCCTACAGGAAAGACGAGCACCCGGCAGTGCCGTACCCCTGTTCACCGTTCACGGGG